ACAAACACGTTTTTCTATATTTACCTTAAAGCTACGTATTGGTCTAATAAATCAACAACTGAACGAAAAAATTCACTCTATCTACCTAATTAATTCTATAACCGATTATGACAATTTTTACTATCTCTAAATAAAAATAACTACTAAGTATTAAGGGAAATCCCAACGGAACTAACTGATCAAATAGAAAGATCAAAATGAAGTCGCACGCTTATGAAATGTTGGAACATAAAATGAAATCTCCAAGTTATCAGGTACTTTAATTAAGAAAACGCAATTAATTATCTTGGAGACAAATTCATCGGCCAAATTCCCGGGGTGCTTTAAAAATCTTCAGGGCGTCACTAATGTAATTTGCTGAGAGTCTTTTTCGTGCCTAATTGCTTAATAGCTCTTTCGGTTTTCTAGTCAAAAAAAAACATTGTCTTCAATCATTTCATGTGCTTCATCCATAAGATTTGGAGCAAAAAGTCCCATTTTTTACCCCAATAACTCATGTTCTCGCTGAACCAATTTGGGCGGCATTTGATTGGTCGGGTTACACTGCCAATATGTGTTAAAAAGGTGAATTTGATTGGGAATTAAATGTAAACAACTTATTGAACATGTGATTCATAGCGCCGCCCGATTTCACCCAAACACGGCATAATACGATTTAAAATCAGTCGATTGGAAAAGGAGGCGCCTTGGTCGGGCCTCCACGATCACCTGATGTAAACAACCTAGACTTTTTAGCCAGTCGTGTGTCGATCGACCGCCTCCTTAAGATACGGCAAAAATGGGTATTTTATGGCATTTGTTTTGTTTTGGTTATTTCATGTATTTTTCTTTCCATTTAAATTAAATAAATTTAATTAGTTCTAAGTATATTTCAATTAAATTAATATTTAGTGCGTATGAGGTAATTTTTTGAAATAATTTTCATTTAGGTGATGCATATCAATGTCTGGAACATTTAGGGATCATTATAACAAATTAAGTTAAGTTAAGTTAAGTATGTGAACTTATTCACTGTAAACGTAGGTAGGTACTGGAAAAAAAGTCCAATTAAATAAATTTTAATCAAATTCAATCAAAAGGCTGCTACTCTCCCTTTTTCTCACAAATATAATTGTGGACAATCTACACAAAGGATGATAATTTTTAGAACGAATTTGAAGCCAAGCAAGCACTTGATATGCTAAGGACACATTTCTAATCAGGTACTTTAATTAAGAAAACGCAATTAATTATCTTGAAGACGAATTCATCGGACAAATTCCAGGGGTGATTTAAAAATATTCAGGGCGTCACTAATGTAATTTGCTGAGAGTGTTTTTTCGCACCTAATTGCTTAATAGCTCTTTCGGTCTTCTAAAGTGGCCGAAAAAACGCAAACCCTTTAATTAAAATTTTATTACCGGGGAAGATCCTAGTTGTTTTTTATCAGAAAATTAGTATTTGCCTTTCACATCAATTTAGCTCAATTTTACAAAATAAGTTGAGTGCAGAAAAGAATATTTGTATACTTCAAAATTAACATCGATATATTTGACCGCAAAGGGTGTTTGGAGGAAGAAACAGGGATAGAGAACAAAGGAGAGACGGTATGCGGGGTGGAGCCATTGCATCCTATCACAGCATCATTTAAATTGCTAAAACGGGGCGTTTTACTTTTTATTCGATCAAACTCGACTCAACAAAACGGGAATCCAATTTAGATTCTGTTTTCAATTTTGTCAGAGAATGCTTTATTTTATTAGGAATAACAAATCGCTTAGACTTAGACGACTGGTCCACAATACTGTTTGTTTTTTTTTTCAATGGCGTATTGCAGATATTTACCTAAAATCTCTACTGGTGTTTCCAATAAGTTCTAAAATGAAAGCGGTTGAATATTAATGTTGAAAATTGTAAAAATATTTTTTTCTGCAAGTATAATCATCTCCAGAATACTGAAACGGAATGAAACCGAACTGGAAGAGCAAATGAGGGAATTGGCCCTGGTCATGGGAAAGAGTTTTCTTTTAGTCTTTTCATGCATACCGGCAATCGCAATACTTGACTAACCGAAAAAAGAAGCAGCCATCAAAGATAGGTGGAAATTCTGCAGGTAAACTTTCGAATATGCACTGGGTCGTAAAAACGAGACTTTTGAAAAAGATAGGAGGACTGCATCACTGCATCATTTTATTCCGAATTGCAAATCACCGGGGAGCAATTCGACGTGTCAGAACAACAAGCATTCACTGCCAGGCTGTTATCAGATTAGCATTGATTCCCGTCACATTGATTCATCGTCCGTTGCGGCATGCTATGCTCTAATCATGTTGCCAGCGCCAACTAATTTCGAGATAACTGAAGAGCAAACTAAAATTTCATAAGTCAATATTTAAGGTTTGATCACTTTTTGGCCCGACAGTTCATTTTCAGAAGCATTTTTGGCAAGAGCTGATCAAGTATCTAGTGCATTTACCTGGCATATGAAAGTCTTCTTCACTCGGTGCTGATTTATGCCTTCAACCGTATCTAACAGATTTGTAGAAACTCAGAACTGAAAAGAATATTTTAAAGTAGAAAGACACTATCATACGTTGTCTCCTAATTGAACAATTTTCCTAATGCGTCTGAAGTGATTCGATAAAGCAAATGCGAGGATATTTCGCAGCGATAACCACTAAATCGACTTGAAAGGTGCGAGTTAAAGAGGCAAAACGAGAGTAAAGCAGAATCCATCCCTTGAGAGGAATTAACGCACCAAACAGCTGAATTTAATACTTCTCTCCCACTTGGGGGCAATAAAGTTCCTAGAATGGCGCTCAGATTAATTTAATTCTATTAGTTTAATGAAGTTACAAAATATGTTGCCAAGTCGATTTGAATGGACCCAACTGATTTTTGTGAAGGGGATTTTATGTAAGTAATTGACTAGCATTTTAATTTCTTACATTCGCTCACTTGGCAGGAGCTTAAATTGTGACAAAACGGCTGGAATCATGATATATATTTTTTTTAATATTCGAGCTTTCTGGAAGACCTAGCATGAAATAGCGATCTTTTTGGGTGTTTTCGCATTTGGGCAAAGTATTGTAGGTAACTTTGACAAAGTATGGTACCAATAGTTAAGAAACTCTATCTTGAGTAATGAAATAGTGTAGAAGCGAACAATTTTACTGAGGCGCGCAAAGAATATTTGCAACTTGTATAAGTAATTAAATTAACCGGAACCGGGCTATTGTTAAACTACTGGGCCAGTTTTAAGCGCAATTTCGAATAGATCCAGGGAAGATTTCAAAGTATTCCATTTCATTTTACATCGATTTTTTCATTTTAGCCGACGGGTGCGACACTCATATGCTACGGTTTGGTATGCTATAGAAGTATTTAGTTAAGAATAACATTTTTTCTACTTTGCACTTTAAAAGTATATAAAGTATAACAAGCATAGTAAAAGTAGGTACAACAAGAATGTGCTTAATTATTATAAAAAGACAATTTATTGAATTTTTTACCACTTTTAAAACGCTGAACAAAAAATCGACATATGTCTTATGATAAGCTAAGGCTTATAAAGTAGTAAAAAATGTTAGTTTTTGTGTTTCTTTAATTATCGACTTTGTATGAACTTATCGTCGGATGGAAAAAGTGCTTGATGTATCAAAACCTGTTAATTATCAGCAATGTTACTAAATTCAAAGCACTTTTTCTGCACTTACAAATTTTGTGATCGCTGTTCTCATCATCGCATTGCGTATCTTCGTTGCTATCTTCCTGTTTTTCACAATTAACATGTTCAGTGCACATTTTTGAGTCGTTTGTATCCACGGTTTTCAACTCCGCACTTAATGGTTCCTGGGCCGTTTGAAAAATTTTCTCACATTTGTCATTACTTTTAGAATTATCGGAATGAAGACGTAAATCGATGCATCCGTGTGTTGGCGACGGGCTTTTCTCAATGTCCGAAATGAGCCAATTTTTCGGTTTTCTTGTGATATGTTCCTCAGGGTACTCTTTCTCGGATTTGACACTCGGCGAAGCCTCAAAACTCTTGGCCTCAAAACTCAAATTCAAACATTGTTCGCCAGCGTTGTTGTTGTTGTTGTTTTCAAAAGATTTCGACACGAATTGTGTTAATTTGTCCATGATTATCACAATAATCTAAAGGCTATGTTTAGAAGGCTCATGTGAATGAAACTGAATATCCATTTGGAAGTTAAGGTTGTAACCATGGATACAATAGGGGCTGCGGTTTAGGCAGACTCCACCCTTAATTACAGCGCACGCTTCGTTTATTGGGCCGGCCTGAATTGGGGTGGGCCTGTGAGCTATCACTTTGGCCTGTTGAGAAATTTTCTTCTTATATTTATGGCAAGTCAATAGCTTACTGTAAGTGGCTGACATTTTTTACCACTTGTTTTTCCAACTGCTATAATTATGTAGATTTACGATTATGATTGTCGGTAGGACTTATAAAACAAGCAATCCCGCTCCAGACATGAATACGGCATTGCAAATATATGCTAATGTGTAGATTTTGATATATAATCGAATTTTGTGCAATATCTCACAATGATGCATTGCTTATCAAATTTCTTTGGGCATTGTTTTAAAAATATTAAATATGTCCTGAACGCGAATGAGTTTTAGGACTTTAATTGTGACTGCATTTCAATGTTTCGATTGCAATGAAATTGATGAACGGTTGGCCGCTAGAAGGAAGCTCAACTTAATAGTCGACCCCGGTATTATCGATTTCAGTTTCTCATCGCAAAACCCTCATACGCACCATTGCATACCTGCTTATTTTAAA